TAATATTCTATAATGTGACTGTTAAGTCTTATTATCTGTTTATCATTAATCTGTGACAGACTGTTAGTCTTATTATCTGTTCATTAATATTCTATAATGCGACTGTTAATGACTTAACTGTTTATTAATATTCTATAATCTGACTGTTAACATCTTATTAACTGTTTATTAATATTCTATAATCTGACTGTTAACATCTTATTAACTGATTATTAATATTCTATAATGTGACTGTTAATAACTTATTATCTGTTCATTAATATTTCATAATGCGACTGTTAATGACTTAACTGTTTATTAATATTCTATACTTGACAGTGAGCATGTTATTCTTCTGTTGTTCTGCAGCGTCTGCAGACGCTCTAAACGTTTTGTTCCGAGGGTTCTTCCATGTTCTTCTGATGTGAGGGACGACAGAAGAGCTCCAGCAGCTGATTGGCTCTGCTGTCGGAGGAGAACGATGCTGAAAGCCTCTTCTTCACAGAGAGTTTCCGTTTGCTTTAATGAGGCTTTTAAAGCTCCATCTTCAGTTTCAGAAGCATTTGTAACCCGACACCCGGCTGATGATGCGGCGGCGTCCTGACCGGATCATGTGACCACGCAGAGGCGGCTCTGGTGACGTCATGGTGTCCATCTGTGTGTTCAGCTGTTTCCCGCTCAGGTTCTCAGATGTTCACATGATGCCACCTCGTCTGGTTTTCACAGGATTTCATGCTTCCCTGCACACGAGAGCGTGTGTCGTCCAGCTGCGGTCGTCCCCCGGGCTTGGACCGTCGGCTCTGAGCAGTGCTGACTTTTCACAAACTGATGAGGAACCCACTCAAGAGAGCGAACGACCAGAAACCATCAAAAATCAAACCAGAGGACTCCAAATACCTAAGAACGTGTACCACATCTGATCCAGAACAAGTTCTACTGACACTGGACTGAACAGAACCTCAGAGCTCCTCACTCAGTGAAGTCTCAGTGGAGCATGATCCAAAGGTCAAAGGTCACGGTGCGTCTGTTCTGTAGAGGCCGGCTGTAACTGTAGTGTGGAGGAATGGAGGCGTGGACCAGGAGCCGGGCCAGCTGTCGGACTTTACAGGACCAATATAGTTTGTCCTTCATGGGGACCAAGGATGTCCTGCTCAGTCCACAGAGGACGTCCTGCTCAGTCCACAGAGGACGTCCTGCTCAGTCCACAGAGGACGTCCTGCTCAGTCCACAGCTGTCCCCTTCAGGCTCCATCACAAACTGACTCATTGTTAACATTTCAGCTCCTCCATGTGCTCAGGGTCCAACCACACAGAAGGACCAGTTCTCACAGAACCGGACCTTTATCGGGGTCCAACCACACAGAAGGACCGGTTCTGTGAGAACCGGACCTTCTGCTGTGCATAAAATGAATATAACTGTTGTGGTAGTAGCTGAGAGTCATCCCCTGCATATTCTCTGAAGGTTATGTGAATACTCTGCAAGTACTCCTGTAAATATCACTGCTAGTACTCCTGTACTGTTAGTATTCCATAGGTACACTCAGTACAAACCTCTAAGCACTCTAAAACTACACCTTATAAGCATTTTTGTAGGTACTTTACAAAGTACTTACGTAGGTAACGCTATAGGTATCGCTAAGTACTTTTGTTAGTATTACCATGAGTACCAGGTAAATCGTGTATTGATGTTGAAGTATTGATAGTTAGTCGTACTGTTTGTGTATTTTCTTCTGTTTAATCTATGATGTGTGTCCTTGTGGTCTTCTGCTTAGTCTTTGTGTCCTCCTTCATGTCACTGGTCCTCAGTGAGTTGTTGCTCCTCCCTCCTGCCCCGCCCACTCACACCTGTCCCTCGTCCATCACAGCTGCAGACACTTCTCTCATCAGCCTCTGTCTTTCTATTCGTTTGGTTTTCAGCTGAGCGTTGTTGTCATGTTTAACCTGCACCTCCTCGTGTCTCCTCGTACCTCATGTCTCCTCATACTTCATGTAGCTCCTGGTGTCTCCTCGTACCTCATGTAGCTCCTGGTGTCTCCTCACACTTCATGTAGCTCCTGGTGTCTCCTCATACCTCATGTAGCTCCTGGTGTCTCCTCATACCTCATGTAGCTCCTGTTGTCTCCTCGTGCCTCATGTCTCCTCATACCTCATGTAGCTCCTCGTGTCTCCTCGTACTTCATGTAGCTCCTGGTGTCTCCTCGTACCTCATGTAGCTTCTGGTGTCTCCTCATACCTCATGTAGCTTCTGGTGTCTCCTCGTACTTCATGTCGCTCCTGGTGTCTCCTCGTACCTCATGTAGCTCCTGGTGTCTCCTCGTACCTCATGTAGCTCCTCGTGTCTCCTCGCAGCTCCTCATGTTGGTCCTCAGTTGTGTAGTTTTGTTGCTCCTTTAGTTGTGACCTCCTCGAGCTGATCTGCAGGAGTTCACAGGATTTAAATCTCAACGTTTGGGTTTAGTTTGTAATAAATTGTTTTTAATGTTGCAGCAGCAGCTGATGTGACTTGTTATTTGTTGATTCAATCATTTTTAAATTGTATTTTAGTTTTGAATCTGAGTCAACGTCCGACCGTTCCGTTCCATCCAACGGGTTCTGTTCCTTCAGCTAACCTTTCGGACCAGACCGGTCGTTAAACAGCTGCAGCTCCGGAGCCTCACAGCCGAACTTCACCTCATTTCTTATTATCGGCATCTTTGGAGATTAAAGACGGAAAGTTTAGCATCAAACTGAGAGAAGTCATGAAGGGTGAGAATAAAATTAGATCTCATGGACGAGGAACAAGAAATATAAAAACTCCTGGAAGTAAAAACGTCCTCTGGACACGTAAATAACATTTATAACGATTTAAAGTCGTGGGAGGTTCAGCTGAAAACCTGCACCAGATCTTTTCATCTAAGAGTTGTCTTTAATAAACTAAGAAAAGTTTTTGAATCTGAACATTTTAGCAGGAACGTTTTTAACTCTGACCTCATGTAAACAGAAAAACTCAGCCTGACTCTGAAACTTCAACTCACTCAGACTTTTATTTTGAAAGATTTATTTTGAAACTTCAGACCTCTTCCTGTCTACTCTGAGTTTCTGAAAATCCTGCAGAGGGTTTAATGTAATTCAAAGTTCGGCTCAGGACATGTTGTGGTCCCAGAACAAAGAAGAAGCTGCTGAGTCACTGGTTGCCATGGTGATTACCTCCTTTTCTGTGTAGCTGAGGAAGGAGGCGGAGCTTATAGCCACTTTATTCACCAGACAAAAACAACAAATATTAATGTATAAACCTGTAAGTTGTTTGTGAACCTTGTCGACCCGGGAGCGTCGGATGGTTCTGATGGAACCAGGTCCTTTCTGATGTTTCCTCAGGACATGAAGCGCGTCAGAACTTTAACAGCTCACTCCAACCAGAACATCCTGAGGTCAGATCATTTCTGTTTCATGTCTGTGTGTCGTTTTTAATAAAAACTGTCATTTTAAAGCAAAGATCCAGTGGTTGGTTCTGAAGAAACTGAAGCCTCGAACCAAACTGAATGAAAACGGCGTTTATTTGGACACAAGCTGAAGTGTTTTTTCTCGTTCAGGTGTTTTAACGGTTCAAAATGGCTGCATATTGGACTGAATCAGTGATTTAACTCAAAACATACAAGTTTATAAAAGTTGGAATTATTGAGCTGAGCGTTAACGGTTGACGGTTCCTCAGAGGTCTTCAGGGTGGAGACCGCGGCCCTTGTTGTTCTTATTGCTGACCCCACCCACCTCCACCCCCCACGGTTTACCTTAGGTGGGCGGGTCGTACCTCGTTTACGACAGAATCAGCGCCCATGCTTAGACGTTTGGATGACTCTCAGCTACTACCACACAGGAGCAGTCAGAGTTGAGTGAGTTGTAGCCATTTGTGTTTGAGGTTGATTAGATGTGGCGGCCATTTTGAATCAGGTTGACTTTAACCATTAACCACTGGTTACTTTCTGAGATTCTAGTTTAAGTCCATCTCGTGGCGTTAAAGAATAAGCTGTCTAACTGAATAAAACAGTCAAATGTAACTAATTACAATAAACAGCAACATTTCATATATTTAGTTATATTTATTAAATGAATGTATTTATGATGTATTCAAACTAATGGTCTGTTTGGGTCAGACCGCCTTCCTGTTGCCATGGTAACTGCGGGATATTTACACGCAGTCTGTCACAAACTGTTCTCGGGTTAAACATGAGGTTCGGTTCGGTCCACTGTTCTCAACTCAGATCTGCTGGAGACCCACAGAGGAACCGGACCGACCCACAGGGGAGGCCCAGGGGGTCCAAGTCCCGGCGGGGGAGGGGGGGATGCTTAAACACAGCAAACCGCCCCCCTCCCCTGTCAGGAGGTCCTGTTCGACCCGCAGCCGGTACTGTAGCTCCAACTGTTCTGTACAGTGTGTCTGCATTGCGTCGAACTCCCCCCTCCTCCCTCCTCCTCCTCCTCCTCCTCCTCTCGCCCTCCCTCTCTCCTCACTTTCCCTCCTCATGAAATCCTGCAATATGCTTCCAAATTAGCGGACCGGTTCGGTTCTGCTCAGCCCTGCGCCTGTTTTTCTCCTCGTTTTGCTGCTTTGTGCTGATGCTGCAGATCTTCATCTTCCTCCTCTTCCTCCTCAGCATGATTCTGAAAAATGTCAGTCGGGATTTTCTCCTCCTCCTCCTGCTCCTGCTCGGATTGACGCTGAAAGCCAACACCAAGAGGATGTGGACCGAGACAACATGCTGCATTAATATTTCACCGCTCCTGTAAAGAGATATTAAAGCTCGCGCTGCGCACTCGGAGGTGCGCCGAGGGAGGACATCTGCAGCTCTTCAGCTCAGGTAGGTCTCATCTCAGACCTCAGGATGGTTCTCTTCCTCCGCCTGAGAGGAGAGGAAACTTACTGCGGTAAAACCAGCAGCTGCCACTCCTGCAGGATCTCTGCTTCACCATGAAAAACAAGGAGAACCTGTCATGATGAAGATCTGTGTTCCTGTTTGTTTCTGTCGTTCAGGTGGAGAACCAAGAGAACGCTGAGCTCAGAGATGAAGATGGAGGCTCTGCACATCTCCTGCCATCAGTAGGAGCTCCAACCTCCTCCCCACAAACACCACCTGCACATCCTTCTCCTGTCCGACCCCCCAGGAAGGATGACTGTGGTGTCAACGGAGAACATGGACGAGACCTCCACCCTGCCGGGCCACCCGCAGGACCCCTACCCGCCCGACGACGATCACAACGACCACGACTGCTGCGAGCGAGTGGTCATCAACATCTCCGGGCTGCGCTTCGAGACCCAGCTGAAGACCCTCGCCCAGTTCCCAGAAACGCTCCTTGGGAACCCCAAGAAGCGGATGCGCTACTTCGACCCGTTAAGAAACGAGTATTTCTTTGACCGGAACCGACCGAGTTTTGACGCCATTTTGTACTATTACCAGTCTGGGGGTAGGCTGCGACGGCCAGTTAACGTCCCTCTGGACATGTTCTCTGAGGAGATTAAGTTCTATGAACTTGGCGCGGAGGCAATGGAGAAGTTTCGTGAGGACGAGGGATTTATCCGTGAAGAGGAACGACCTCTGCCAGAGAAGGAGTTCCAGCGGCAGATTTGGCTCCTCTTTGAGCATCCGGAGAGCTCGGGGCCTGCCCGAGGGATTGCCATCGTCTCTGTGATGGTCATTCTTATTTCCATAGTCATATTTTGTTTGGAAACTTTACCGGAGCTGAAGGAGGATCCGAGTGACCGGATGCACGTGGTGGGGAACACCACAGTGTATTACAAAGCCAACTTCCTGACAGACCCTTTCTTTGTGGTGGAGACGCTGTGTATCATCTGGTTCTCCTTTGAGTTGATAGTACGGTTCTTCGCTTGCCCCAGCAAGGCAGCATTCTTCAAAAACATGATGAACACTATCGACATTGTGGCTATAATCCCGTACTTCATCACCCTTGGCACGGAGCTGGCTGATGACCAAGGCAACAGGGAGGGCAGGGGAGGAGGCGAACAGGCAACCTCTTTGGCTATTCTCAGGGTAATCCGTCTGGTGAGGGTGTTCCGGATCTTTAAACTGTCCCGACACTCCAAAGGGCTACAGATTCTGGGGCAGACTCTGAAGGCGAGTATGAGAGAGCTGGGGCTGCTCATTTTCTTCCTCTTCATTGGCGTGATTTTGTTTTCCAGTGCCGTTTACTTTGCTGAAGCAGAAGAGAAAGAGTCCTTCTTCACCAGCATCCCAGATGCTTTCTGGTGGGCCGTGGTGTCCATGACAACAGTTGGCTATGGGGACATGTACCCCGTGACCATCGGAGGGAAGATTGTGGGCTCGCTGTGTGCCATAGCTGGTGTGCTGACCATTGCACTGCCGGTGCCGGTCATCGTGTCCAACTTCAACTACTTCTACCACCGGGAGACGGAGGGCGAGGAGCAGGCACAGCTGCTCAACATCAGCAACCAGAATTTGGTGTCTGAAACCAACTCGAGCCGCCGCAGCTCCTCGGTGGTCAGCAAGTCGGAGTACATGGAGATCGACGAGGACTTGAACAACAGCATAGATAACTTTAGGGAAGCAAACCTTCGAACTGCCAACTGCACGGCGCCGAGCCAGAACTGTGTGAACCGAGCCAAGCTGCTGACAGATGTGTGAAGCAGAGCTTGATGCACGGTTGTACATATTGTAGAAATCTGGATGCTTTATCTCCATCAGTGCTTTTTATTCCTACTCTCTGCTTGGTTCTTCACAAGGTATAAAGACTTTGACGCTCAAACAGAACCCGCGAGACGAGCAGGTGTTGGCAGCTTGAAGAACACGACTTCATTTTACAACTTGAACCCTCAAATCATCTGATGTATCTGAGGACTTTATGTATTTTAAAGTTAGACCTTTCAGCCATGGTCTGAGAGATCCTGGTTTAGTATCCTGGACGACCCCCCAGACCTGTTACAAAACCATTTAATTTTTTCACTTTTACATTCCATAAATTTAAGGGTTAGTCCATGAGTTTTACGAGCTAACTTGATCTATTTTGGTCTAGAGACAGGCTTAGTTAGATCTAGTATTGGTTCTAGTATCCTGGACAACCCAGTGAAAGCAGAACCAGATTGAGTTCAGATAAACATTTAAATTCAAGACCTGAACACTGAATTTATCAAAGACGTTCCATATTACTAAAGGGGTGCTCCACCAGTTTTACACTTAAGTTCAAGTGTTTTGATCGGAAGTCGAGCTTCAGGTGCAACAAGTCCTGGTTTAGTTTACTGGACTGGTCTGTGATGGGTTCTGACCAGCTTCCTAAAGTTTAGAAAGCATTTTCTAAAATCAGAAACTTTAATTGTCAGAAATGTTATAAAATAAAAGGCTTCATGTCCAGAGACATGTTCAAGGATCCCGGGCAAGCCCCCCAAAACATTAAGAAAACCATGAAGTTAAAATTAAAACTTGAAAATTTTAGTTGTTTCTTAAAACATTGAAGGGATCTCCATTGGTCCACGGAGGTTAATCTTTCTGATCCAGAGTCGACCTTTAAATGATCCTGGTTTTACATCCAGAACCAGTTCCGCCATGTTTAGCAACGAAAAACTTTTTGAAACTGTTGAATGTTTTGTCAAAAACCTACAAAGATTTACTTCTTATCAGGTTTTTGATCGAGGCACGCCTCCAGTACCCCAGACCCTGTCCCCCCCAGACCCCACCCTCATAGTTTTAATCTGGCTTGAAGATTTGGGGAAACAATGTTATATAAATTAAAAACTAAACAGGAAATCTAGAAAATGCAATGCAGAAGTTGAGGTGTAACATCAAAAGCAGTACCCCCCCCCCCCATACCTTGTCCCCGTCCCCGTCTCCAGACAGGTCGTATTTCTAAAAGCACTCAGCGTTTGTTTAAAAACAGCATTTAGTGTATAAATAATACATGGCACGTGGGAGGATGTTTGTTCTAAAGCAGAAAGAGCCCAGTTGCATTCTGGGAAGTGTAGTGTTGTAGCTGTTGTTTGGCGTTCTTCCATGATTTTAACTTTGTGATATGTTGGTAGTAAAACTGTGGAGCGCCTCTTTATTAAAACTGATTCACTCCAACATCGTGCTGCCGAAACAGACTGCCACCTTTAAATCGTTAAGCTCAGAGGATTATAAACAATCTGAAATGGTTCAACTACGGGCAGAATCTGGAGAGATTAGAGTTGTGGGTATGGCTCATTAAAGCACCTTATATTATCTTTAAAAAGTCAAATATGCAACGTTTGAAAAGATGGAATATTAATAATGAACGAAGGAATTTATTGAATTTTCATGGATCCTGCTGACGCCCGCCAGACTCACCGGTCAGGACTGAAACACAAACTGCTCCGAGGACGTGCTTCCTGTTGAAGCAGCACATTCTGAGTGGATTACAGTTCTGGTTTGGATCCAGAAGAACCTTTGGAAACCCGACCGGGGCTTTTTCAGGCACTTTATGAGAAGCAAACAGGAAGTGTCCGACCTGCTGCTGGAGGTTTAGTGTCTGACGCCATGCAACGCTCCTTTATATCAACGCATGTGGAGACTCCTTCCTGTCTGATGTCCGCATGCACACAACGTTACCTCATCTCACCTCCTCCTCCTCCTCCTCCTCCTCCTCCTCCTCCTCCTCCTCCTGGAGCCTGTGTTCTCACCTGAAGTGCTCGGGCTGTTTGTCCATGATCGGAGCATTGATGTGTTGAATGTCTGATCCTGAACCGCTCCGACCCACGTGTACTCCGTGCATGACATCAGTATTAAAATGCTTGCAGTGGTGGCGGGAACTTTAGAGGAGGATGAAGATGATTCTTGTTGTCAGGCTTTCCACAGGAAAACGTGCATGAGGGAGCCAGTTAAACACTTAAAAATGATATTTCACAGTTTCATCCTCCTCTTTTTATTCCCTTAGAGCTTTAACCGTTGACGAGGGACTGCATGACCTGAAGGAGCTTGACGACGAGAAGCAGATTACTATTTAAAGTAGAGATATTTCTGAAATGATGTTCTGGTGCCTTGAACCCGTCTTGTTACAGAATGGACTGAAGTGCCTCCGGTTAGAGCCACAGGCAGGAGTTTCCATCCTCTGCTCAGGAACACCTCACATTAAACATCCGTTCTTTCAACTCTGGGATGGTTCTACAACTTCAACAACTTTTCTCTACAAACATCTAAACACATCCATAAACTCCCACTGATACTTGGCTAAACGCCTCTCAGCTGGTGTCTCCATCAACAAGGTTCTGGTGGAGTTCTGGAGGCTATCGGACCGCTCTTCTTTCAGACAGAAGGTAGAGTTCAGTTGAACTGATCCACTTCCTGTCAGCTTTTACCAGAGTCCAGTTTTCAACCAGGCTGAGGTCAGGGCTTCAAGTTGGCCCGATTGACCCAGTCAGAGACCGGTTCCGATGTGTGCTTGGAATCATGGTTCTGTTAGACCTAACTGGGTCCAGGTTCTGCCCAGCCCATAGCGTCTCTGAGTTCATCCATGTGATTCGACAGAACGCTAGATCAGAGAACATCCTGTGAACGTTGAGTCAGCTTCATGACTGCTGCATCCTTCATCTATTTTAGCTGTTCATACATCAAAACATTCGGCTCGTTCAGCCGATGGGTGCTGTGACTTTTGAGTTTGGTTAATTTGATCTTTTTTCAAAATATTTAACTTTATTTACACAGTTCTCCATAGAAATTCATACAAATCTGTTCAGTTCAGCTGTCTTTCAGCTGTCTTTCAGCAGTCTTTTAGCGGTTATTTAGCAGTTATTAAGCAGTCTTTCAGCTGTCATTGAGCAGTCTTTCAGCAGTTTTTCAGCAGTCTTTCAGCTGTCATTCAGCTGTCATTCAGCAGTCTTTCAGCAGTCTGTCAGCTGTCATTCAGCAGTTATTATTCAGTCTAGCAGTCGTTCAGCAGTCTTTCAGCAGTCGTTCAGCAGTCGTTCAGCAGTCTTTCAGCAGTTGTTCAGCAGTCTTTC